CACCGGGAATAAACGGGCGCCCAGACTTGCAGGCTGCCCGAGGCACCGAGGGACGGGGCCCATCCGGAGCACGGGGACCCTCCGCGGCCAAAAAGGGGCCGCACGGGAGAGGTTTTTGCCCAGGGAGCAACCCCGGGGGCACCAGAGGAGGGACCCCGCTGTGGCCAAGTCCTCCAGGGTGGTCCTGCTGCCGGGAAAGCCCGAGACCTGAGCAGGGAAACGTGGAGGAGAGCGTTCGGTGGCCTACGGTCACCGCACATCCCAGTAGGATGAGGGAGAAGAGGAAAAAGGGGAGAGGGAAGGAGCCCGAAGCACTTTGGGGGAGACTCACCCGGCTGCCCCGTGGTCCCGCTCGGCCGCCGGGCTCCCCCGAGGAATCACTTTGTGGAGGGTGCCGGCTCACGATGGCTGGGCCCCCTGGGCCGCCCTACTCGCCTTGGTTTTAATTAAACAAATAAAGCAAAGACACTCGAACCTCGGCCCCGCGGGGCTCTGCCGCTCCGGGAAATCCCGGGGGGCTCCGGGGGACGCCGGTCCCGCTGCTCCTGCAGCCTCGCTGCCCCTCAAAAATGTCCTCGACGGAGCCAAAACGCAGCGGGAGGCTCACGGTGGGGTCCGGGAGGCACTGCGAGTCTCTCACAGCCGGGATGGTGTCCGGGGCACTGTGCCACAGCGAGGGTCCCGTGGCAGCCCCCAGCCCAGGGTCCAGCCCCGGCTGCCTCCAGCATTTCGCTCCGTGTCCCCATCCCTACCCACGAGACCCGTCCGAAGGTGACACCGTGTCCTGGTGTGGCCCGGGAGAGGAGAGCGGACCGTGGGGCAGACAGGGAGGGGCGGGTGATGGTTTTTTGGGAGGAGGGGTAGCTCCGAGGAGCTCAGGCGTGGCCGGATGCTGACGCCGGGATGCGGAGCGCCCTGCCCGGGAAGCGGAGGGAGCCGGTGCCGTGCAGCAGAGCGGGAAGCAGCAGCAGCAGAGCGGGGTGTCACCGTCCCCCCACCCTGGGAATGCCACCCGAGGGGTGCAGCAGCCGCGCCCGAGCACATCCCTGTGCCCAGCTGGATCCCCTGGCCATTTGAGGACCCCCTGAGAGCAACCCTACCTCTGAAGTAGGAGCAAATTGTCCCCCAAAAGAGGAGAAAACCTCCCAAAATGTGCTGCCAGCTGGGCTGCCTGTGGCTGCAGGGTTTTGGGACCGGGGGCTGCACCCCCGGTGCGGGCAAGGGGAGCGTTAGCAGCGGTTT